TAACCCTAGGACCTCAGTTTTTGTGCTTGAGAGTGGCTGACCTGAACCTTGAAACACTGTTCCATAGGCTTCTCTTCTCCTTTCTTGAGGCTTGAAGCCATTTTCTTCACGCTTTCTTCTTGTAGACACCTTGAGTGAGTGGGAAACACTATGGTGAGTGTGTTGGGAGCATCATTCTGGGTTTTTACCTCTGTTTGGAGGGTCCTTTGTTGCTGACTTTGGGGGGTTGAGAGTGTTTAGCCATTGTGGTGGCATTTTGGAGCTTAAAGAAGCTTCTTGGTGAAGAAAGGACCAACCTTTTGTGTTGCATTTTCGTACACCTTATTTCCAGAACCTGTAGAGGCAGTGTGGTGAGCTCCAAGAGCTATTGATCCTCTGTTTTGAGCTTTGGTGAGTTGTACCTACCTTGAGCTTGTGTTTTAATGGGTTAAAGGTGTGATCTTTGCATGTTTATTGAGTTAATCAAGTAACCAACTGGGGAGTGGACCTTAATCAGTATAAAGATGCATGCTTTAACGTAATTAAGTGTTAAAAATGGAACCTTGGAAGTATATCTTCACGAAATGCATTTTCTGCATTCTATCGTGAAATATCCGGATATGTGCCGGTTAAATATCTGGATATTGGATATCCGGATATGGTATCCGGATATGGGTTTTGGTATCCGGATATGGGATTCTGGATATCCGGATATGGTCCCGAGGAATATCCGAATATTCTGGGTTTGTGAGGTACAGTAGCGTAATGTTCATCCAGAACTGATCTATGGGTTTGTGTACCCTAGTTTGAGGAAGTTGAACTTCTGTAATTAATTAATGTAAGTCAGAATCGTATGATTAAGGGCTTATGGCTTGGTGAGAAGCCTTAAGACGTAAAACGTAATGGAAAGACGTTGTCTTAATATTGTATGCTTGCGGTGCATATTGTTGATGTATTGTTGGTCCATAACAGATTGTGAATCTGCTGTGTTTGGACTTTGAGCTGTAGACTCTTGGCTTTGGGTGTTAGCTTGCCAGGTAAGCTTTCGTGTCCTCGGTTTAGCCATGTTGTGGTTCCACCATGTCCCATGGAGGTGTGGTTATATGCATGTTGTGTTACATGCTTTGAATATTTGAAATGTTGTTGAGCTTTATGTGTAATGGCTTTTAATATGCATGTGTTGTTCCATCTTGACGGTAAGCCTGAGTATGTGGCGTCATACAAGACGGTGATCCGGGGTGGATGCAAGTGACGTCTTGCACTATGTGTGGGTATTTGGCGTATGCAAATCCTGCATTTCTCTGGCCAGTAGAATAGAATTGACCCACATGACATGATTATCTGCTGCATTGCACTATTTTAGAACTGATAATGATAAACTGCTTTTGAACTTATATTGCACATGTAAGTGAGCTTGGGGTGGAAGATCCTTGAGGCCCCTTGTCTTACTAAGATTTCTTGTTTAGAGATCTCACCCCACGTTTGGGGGAATGCTTATTTCAGGTTCCGGTAGTATGGTGACTGATGCCTCTGGCGGCAGGAGGCCAGAGCTTAGTTGATGATATTATGCTGTATTGCTACCATGACTGGATTTGGATGTTGTTTATGTTTTCCGCTATTTATGATTATGTTGTTGTTGAGACTGATGTTGGACGTGTTGCCTTATTTGAGTGAGCATGGGGATTGTCTATGACACTTTATGTTAGTTCTTTTAGATTGGAGTTGTACAAACTGTTAGATGGTCCGGTCTACGTTGTTGTAGTTCCGTGACTAGAGCCACTCTTTTATTATCTATGTTATGAGGTATTTCAGTTAGCTGTTTTTTTGCAATTACATACAGGCGATATTTTGAAAATGGTTAAGTAATCAAGCTGGTAATGAATAATGACATCATAATTGAAAGGAAAAAGATATTCCGCATTTTTAATTAAGCGTTGCTTAATACGATAGTATGATAACATTACCGGATATATACGGGGTGTTACATAGATCCACGTGGATCTTATATTTTTTTGTGTATTTTAGTCAACAATAAATAAAATTATCTAAAATAATTTTAGAAATTTTAAACCCATTTTCTTAATCTATTTGGTTTCTTTTGTACAAACTACATTCATTCAAATATTACTTTTTGCTTTCTACTTGCCATGCTATAAAGAAAGGAAATGATTCTCTGATGTTACATGAAAATTTTCTTTTTTCTTGTACAGATCTTTGTGCTTTGTGTTTTTCTTTTCTTTTTTAAAATTTGTGGGGCCCGTTTATATGTCTCAGCAGGAAAAAAATGGTATCATCTGTCACATAAGAAAATGCAATCCCTTCTTCTTCTTCTTTTTTTTTTTTGGTAATCTATGCAATCCCTTCTTTATAAACTCAGTAACCAATTATATGGTAAAAAAATAATTGCGATCAATCAGTCTTAAACCAAATAACGTAAGACTCTAAGGGGTGTATTGTATTAAGATTTTAAAATATTTTTCTGAGATAAATTTTTTTATAGATTTTAAAAAATTATTCAGAATTGTAGACACTTTAAAGATTTTTTTAAAAGATTTTTTTTACAATCAAAATTTTATAATATTAGATTTTAATAGAAATTATAAGATTTGAAAGGACAATATGAATTTATAAGATTTTAAAAAATCATATGAATTTTTAACAAACATTCAAAATTTCAAGAGTCAATAAAAAAAAGTTAACAAAGAAATGCAATGATATTAATAAAAAAGGTAAAACATAATATAATTTTTTCAATTTGTAAAAATCATGATAAATTTTCCTTTGAAATTTTTAGCAATTGATCTTGTAAACCTTGTGATTTTTGTTCTACATGATTAGAGTTTACTAATCATATATCTTAAGCATGTTTTCATTGATTATTCCAAGAAAATTTCGAATCTGAATATCTGGGTTTTATTACATGAAAGTCTAGAAAATTTCTCAAATTATTTTCAATCAATACATTGAAATCTTAAATTTCTTTGGGAGTTTTCAAAAATAAGTTTTTAGTGATCTATTGACATAAAAATTGTTTGAATCGTTTCCTATAGCGAAGGAATTTCATTTATTAATATATTATTATGAAACATATGATTCATATTATGAAAGTTTCAATCTTTCTTTAAATCGATTTTATTTCATTGTTGTAAAATAAAAATTGGTTTGGGAGTTTTTGCTCTTGTTATTTTTCGCACTGTTTTATGTTGTTATTAATCCAAAAATCACACATTTTCATTCCAAGAAAAATCATAACCAATAGCTTGAAAAAAAAATTAAACTTTCAAAAATTCTCAGTAATTGCTCCATAATCTGCTATTTTTTTAGATGAATTAGATTAAAATCTTATTGGGTTGTTGTTTCTGAATTATTTTGTGATTAAATTCGCTCAAAATCTGCTATTTTTGAGCTTTGACAAAACTCTCATGGTGTAAACTCGATTTCGAGCAGATCGACCCGCCAAAGAAAGAAAAGACACTGCAATAGAGAAATCTCAAGAAATTGTAGGGATTAGGGTGAGATTGTGAGAGAGATAATTTATTTATATTTCTCACTAAAAAATCTCATGAAATCCACACCAATAGAAAATCTATTAAAATCGTATATTTTTTAATACCACAAGATTGTTTTTCCTTTGTTTAAAATCCTGATTGAATATCAATGGATTTGGACGGACTCTAAAATAATCTTTTAAAATCTTAATCGAATATCATATAACTTTTTTTCAATCCTTTAAAATTTTAATTGAATACCAATGGATTTTTTGTCCAAAATTAATCTATTAAAATCTCTTGAAATCTCAATCTAATACACCCCTAAGGTTAACTACTAGGTTACTTTTTTAAAAAACTAATAATAAAAATAACTGTTATTTGATAACAATTTAGTTGTGCACTAATTTTTTTTTTTCAATTTTTTTATGTTGCTTGTTTTTAGTTTGCATTTATTTATTTATTTATTTATTTTATTGAAATATTCCATCGGTTCATCGCTTCGCGATTAGTCCGATTCGGGGCGGGTCCATGATTAAGGCTTTAAACCACTCCCAAAGGTGGTACTGGGGAGGTTCGAACACATGTCATCACCCCACCTGTTCAGCTCCCATTCGCCAACTGAGCTACCACCATTTGGTAATTTATTTATTTATTTTGGTACAAGTTTTCAGTTTGAATTTAATTAGACTTAATTTCCTTTTCAATCTCTCTATTATAACTTATGTTAGTTATGTATGATTTTTGTCTCTCAATATTTTTTCACTCAAATTTAATTGCTACAATCAAGTCCTTTTTGTTTACTTTTCTCTACCTAAAACTTTCAAACTGTAATCTTTTACTGAAAATTTTCACAAATTTAACTAATTTAATTGCTTTAATTCTTATGCTTAAAATTTACCAATCAAAATAACAGATTTCATTTAAAATTAGAAAATTTCAATTTTTTTCACCTTGAATTTCCATTATTTAATTTTCATCAAAATTTTACTAAATTTAAATTTTATGAACCATTTCAATAAGTTTTTATCTCAAATTTATTGTTAATCCCTAATTATTTGACTTTAAAAGTAGAATTTGGAGATTTTATCTAGAAAAAAGCAAATAAAAAGAACTGATTGCAGTAATCAAAAAATTAAATTCATATTGAAAATTATTAAAAGACTAATATTATGCATTAATAAGGATCGTGTAATTAAATCATTTAATTATTGGAAAAAATATTTTTATTTTTGTTGCAAAAAACATTTTCTATATCCTATAAATATTTTCTCTATTTTATTTTTATAATAAAATCCTTTTATTATTATTATTATTATTATTATGTGAACAGAATTTTTTTATAAATAAAAATAAAAATATTAAACCCTTAGTTATTATTCCGTTGTTTTCTTGGAGAAGAAGAAGATAAAATCTTGTAAATCAATTTGTGTGAAAAAGATAGTTGGTGGGTCTTCCAAATCAATTCAAGATAAATTATTAAACAATGATTTGCTCTCGTTGTCTCATCCAAATCCGTCATATTTATCCAATTTAAGAAAGTCTTTAGCTGAAGCTAGGAACCACCAAAATACCTCTCTTTTTTCTTCTTCTGTTTTTTGGCAGAGTCAATTGATTAAGTAGGAGTTGAAGGAGAGAATGGAAGCCACAGAGCAGAACAAGTCGAGGGTTGTGATGATTGATTCTTTGCAATCATGGGAATCCTATGTCACCCAGGCCTTTAACCAGAAATGCCCTGTAAGTATGCCACTTCATGCCAAAGGTTGGATTTTTTTTTTGCTTGATCTCTTAATTCTCTCACAAACCTGTCCTAAAAAAAGAGTCTGTAAATGGGTGTTTAGCCTTCAAGTTATTTTCAAGACCCACCTTCAATTTTTTAACTTTTTTTGGTTTTCTGTGTTTGCTTCAATTTGGGTTTGCTCGTTGTCTTCTTGTTCTTCCTTGGGGATAGAATATTTGATATACAGACTTACAGCTTTTGTATTTTGTGGGATGGATCGTAGATTGTTGTTCACTTCACTGCTTCATGGTGCATCCCATCGGTGGCTATGACTCCTTTTTTTGAAGAACTGGCTTCAAGCTATCAAGATGTTCTGTTTCTCACTGTTGATGTTGATGAAGTCAAGGTAATTTTTTTCCCCTCTCTTTTAAACCTTGTGCTTCTCTTCCTAGGTGCCCTTTCTTAAATGCTTCTGGTAAATGCATACACAGCTGCTGATTACATATTTAAACACATCATAATTACAACTTATCTGTCTACTTTCTCTTTCTGTGAGTCCCTTTTTTGCTTGTTTGAATGTGCGAGATCTGGGATGTATTCTCTTTTGAGATTGCTATTCAGATTGCTTTTGATTTCAGGATGAATTGTTTTATTATTAGCATTACGCTCCAACCACACACACACCAGAAAACTGCAAAAATTGCACACTACCATAAAATATTATTCTCCTTGTTTATTACAAAACCTTTCTATGGAGGGACCATAAAAATTGCTCAAGAGTTGGGGAACACATAAATTGAACTCCAAAATGTTCCAACTTCCAAGGGAAAGTTGACATCTTATATGCAAGAAGAAGTGGCCTACTGTCTCTCAGCTACATTTTCAGATAACTAATTGTCCCATTAAATTGTTAGATGTTACTAACTTGATAGTCTAATATCAAGAAGAAAATAGGCTGATGCTCATCTGTGTCACCCTTTGGTAATATACTGTGCATTTCACTTTTAATATGTTATTCCATTGGTAACATAAAAATTATTATATGCAATTAAGTCCTGTTTCCCACTAATATGGGTCCTTAAGCACTTGTGCTTCGATTTCCATTGATAAAACTGTGTTTTTTTTCCCTTGGTGGGGATTCTTTTTTGTTTGCTGTTATATTTTAAACGGGCAATCATAGGTAGGAAGAGGATGAAGGTGTTCGAGGTTTGTAGAACTTGGGACTGTATTAGAGTGTATTCAAAAAGTTTTAGAGATTATATCATGCTAGTGTATGGCTGTCTTGTCAAATGTTTACTGAATGCTGTAACTCATGTATTCCAAAAACGTTTATCAAGTGCTATGTGCATCACTAATATGGTTCAATAATGTCTTTTGTTATTGAGCAATATATATAGTCTTGACATGATTTTTTGTGTGGATTTAGGATTAGTGGTCTTGATCTAGCATTTTAGATTCGTGGATAAGATCAAAGGGTAGAATTATACCTGATATGTTCTATTTAATTTTGTAATCCTTAAGATAATAGAGAAACTTGCACCCCTTGTTGGTTACCCACTTGTATTTTTTAGCACAGTTTCACATGTGGTGTTTGCTACTCAACAAAATCAACTTCTTAAATCTATGTTTCTCATATTCCTAAGTGACTAATTTGATGGCCTACAGGCCTTCTATTGTATTCATGCTCGAGGCATCGAAACTAAAAGTTAATTCTTGGGTGATTTTCTCTAATGTTTTTATATCGATTGATCATAGCAATTAAATGTATTGGAATTTTTTCTGGGATCAGGAGGTAGCCACACGGATGGATATAAAGGCAATGCCAACATTTTTGCTGCTGAAGGATGGTACTCCACCAGAGAAGCTCGTTGGTGCCAATCCAGAAGAGATAAAGAAAAGGATAGATGGGTTTGTTCAGTCTATTCATGTCTCTAGTTAAGCATCTATGATATTTTTCTGTTGCAAGTTGTATGATATGTGTTTGTGGTCCTGCACTATGGCATCTGTGTCAAAGCCTTTTGTCGTGGTGGCATGTTGAATATCAGTTCAAGACTAATTTCCAAGTTTGATTACCTGAATGCTTTGGTTGATGGTTACATTCTACAGCTTTTATGTCAACTGAAATTTTTATATTTTATAGTTTTCGATGTTGTGGATTCATGGTACTCTTTCCCCGCTAGTTGTGAATTCTAGTGAACGAAAAAAACAACCATACACAAAATGTACTCATGGTCTCTATTTGAGTTTATTTTCTTCAGTGTATTTTTTTTTTTTTTTTTTCTTTCCAGATCTCCGTTATATGAGATTCTTTCTTACTCAGTTGTGTATGAGATTGTGACTTGCTTCAGTGTAAATATGATTATTTCAAAATAGAAATCAAATAATTTATTCCTTGCATAATGGCAGCAAACATGTTTATTATTTCCCTTCCGTTAAACATCAGTGGCGTGTTAATTATTTAAGTATATGTGTGCTAAAATTATTCAATAAAAAGCTATTCAATCATGTAATCCAATTTCTAGAAAAGATTCCCCTCCCACCCAATTTGTCTTGGTCCTCTTCTCCTCCTCCGTCTCCTCCCGCCCTCAGGTTACTCCACTCTTAAAACAATTATGCCTCTTTTTTGTCATTCCCAGTTTGCTGTATGAAAGTGTTTTTTAAAGGTGCACATACCTTGTAGCTTTGCATCACTAAAATATACTCGTAACACTGTTTTGGGAAGTAATAACAGAATATGTCAGTGAGCTTATATAAAATCATTAGTGGTTTTTTATTTAATATTAAAGTGATATTTATTTAACAATTTGAGTTCTTAAGTTAAATTATTATTTAATATGATATCAAAACTTATGACTAATTGGTCATGAGTGAAATTTTGTAAGATGAATTTGTGCATTATTTATTCTTTAAGTCCAACTTATATAAAAAGTGTCAGAGAAATCTAATTAAAATTATTAAATAACATTTACTTAACATCCTTTCTTTCTTCTTCTGTCCCCCTTTTCCTCAATGTGTCATTAACCTGATTTTTCTTACTGTTATAGAAATATATAATTATTAATATAATCTTATTTAAAAATTTATGTTTTTAGATTAAATTAATTCTTTACATAATATCATAGGCTTAGTGTTCTGGGTTTGATCATCATCGCCCCCATTTTTACTTGTGGAATTAAATAAGAATAAAAAAAATAAAAAAAAATTGGATTTATGCAATATCCATACTTCAAGTCCAAAAGGCTCTTATGTGAGAGAATGTGTTAAAGAATAATATAAACCACTAATAATGCTCTCACCCCATAACCTTAAGGTTTTTGGTTGAAAATTGAAATGGTTCTTTATATCAGAGCTTCGGTGTCACTGTTGTGTAAAATCGGCAAGTGTACCGATCGTACCAAGTAATAAAATGATGAGTAGAGTATCGTCTCAACGAAGATTGAGGCACCGAAGTTATTATAACTATTCCTCTCTTGTTGGATTAATAAAATGATTTAAGAGCAATTATGGTTTGTGAAATAAATGAAAAATAAATGTAAATGGTTCACCGGTTCTTTTAGAATTAAAGAACAAAAGATTAAAGGTTGAAAAAATATTTGAGAAAATATTGCGGTAAAGAGAAACAAACACCTTTACAGTCCCCACCTTGTAACTTGGATTACACTTACGTTTACTTATTCAATTGATCAAACGATCCATCATCTTTTATATGATTAGTTAAGCCCTAATCCCTTAGTGACTTTAACCTTATTAACTATTAGAATCTTAATCCCTTAGAAATTCCTTTTCAAGTTAACCCTTAGAATCAATGAATCTTTAACGTTTGCGGTTCATGTAGCCTATCCCTAGTGCATACATGATCAGTTGCCTTACCCTTTATCAGGAATTAGAATTCTAATATTCCTATTGAAAACCCTAACCCTCGCAATCCTGATAGATTGATCAGTTCCAAAAGAATTATAGAATGAAGAACAAGGTAAGATAAATTCAATTTAAATAAATAAACATAAACTTCAACCAAACTACAAGGGTTCACATCAAGGGTTGTGACCCTTACCACAATAATAAAACTAGCTAGACATATTCATGTCTGACAAAATAATCATAAAAGAAAATAAAATTAAGAACCTAAAGGAGAGAAAGAAGATGAAGATCTTCCGTCTTGATCGATCGAATCTTTGAAACTCCAATAAGCTCCCAAGAATTCTCCCTCTCTTTGTTGTTTTTTCTCCCTCTCTTTGTTGTTTTTCTCTTCTTGTTGTCAAAAAGTTCCTCCCTTCCTCTATTTCTGATCCTTTTATTAAGTTTTGAGAAAACCTACTTTCAATTGCTCTCAAATCGGGTCTTCTTTTTGAGTAATTCGCATCAGATTAGAGTTAAAAAGTATCGCCCACGCACTTTGCACCAAGTCTGGCGCACTTTGCATGAGAAAACAGAGGGAAAGCTGTCAAATGGCGCACCATGCGCCAGGTCCCGCGCACCGTGCGCCAGGATACAGGGACGATTTGCATCAAATGGCGCACCGTGCGCCAGCTAGAAAATTGGACTTCTCTCTTTTGTTTCCTTTTGTGGCGTTTCCTGTTATTAAAACACATAACTTGAGTGAGAGAATGATTGAGAAGGAATAATCAATATTTCTTGCATTTATGACTTATTTTCATACATTTATGATTAATTCCTTGCTTCTTTTAAGTTAGAAAGCATCATATGCTAGACGTACATCAGTCACGAGTTCGATCATCATTGTTCTCCATTTAATTAATAATTAATTAAGTCTTATGAAGTTTCTTAGTACATATAAGTAAACTTGTATTGTCTGCCCGGTGGCTCTCGTATAAAGAAGCGTGTTAGAGATATATAAAATTATTAATATAATCTTATTTAAAAATTTAAATTTTTAAATTGAATTGATTCTTTACACTTATATAATAAAAATATATTTGCTGGTCACGATTCACATTTTCTTATAAAATAGATGTATTCAAAAAATTTTCCCATCAACGTTATTCCATTAAAAATGTAATACAATAGATAATGTGGATGTCAACTAATCATATATTTACTGGACTTTCTGTCCTATAAAATTTATGTACAATTTCAACAAACCCTCTCCTCTCTATATTTCAAGTTATTGACTAGTAACTTCCCTTGTCTCTCCTTAAAACACAAATGCTTTTATTCTTTTGGGGTAATTTTCCCCAGCGTGGAGGTTGATGACTCATAAGGAAATTCGGAGGGTTCGAAGGAAACTGGAATAAAATAAAATGGGGTGATTATATTTACTACTAAAAAAATTTACAACTCTTACTACTAAATTAATTATCGTTAATTTTTGTCAATCTAACATTTATAATTTATTGAATACACTTTTTATTTAATTATTATTTAATTATTAATTCTTATTAAATTATAATTATTAGTTTGACCAAAATCAACGGTGATTAATTTAATAATAAGAGTTGTAAGACTTTTCAGTAATAACTATAACCTCTCCCAAAATAAACATGATAAGTTATTAATTGATAGATAAGGGAGGGTTAAGTTGGAATGAGTGTGGTGGGTTGCATTAGACCAGCTGGGTTAACCCTTTTTCTTTATGTTGTAATTTATTAGAAGATATTTATTTGGAGTCTATATCAGGAACCTATCTAGATTTAGTTTTTTTTTTCTTTGAGCAATATAATTTTTGGATTATAAAATATAAATCACTATTCCAGTATTAAATTACTCAAATATAAGGTCAATAATAAATACATTTAAATATCACAATGTCAATATTGAATTGTAGAGTTATATTTCTCAGATTGATTATGGCATGTTTAATGTTATTTTATTTTTGTAAAAAATATTTTCTAAATGACTTGATGCCACAAATGGATGAGTTAGGGGTTTTCAACCAATTAATGTATGGAAAAAGTGTTTATCCTTTTTTTTTTTGAAATATTCCATCGGTTCATCGCTTCGCGATTAGTCCGATTCGGGGCAGGTTCAAGATTAAGACTTTAAATGACACAACTTATATCATTTTACTCTCACAAAGAGATGAGACCCACACCTTTGTTTTTTTTGTCAACTCTCTCTCCTCTTTATCTATCTCTTTCTCTCTCTTAAAATGACACAACTTTACATCTTTTAAAATGACACACATTTTACCTTAATGTATAGTGGGTCAAACCGTCTCCTCCCTTTTTCTCTCCAAAAACAAATTTGTTCAAAATATAATGCTTGGTGCATTAGTTCCTTAAAATGTTTTTCAATAAATTTGAGCTGATCAAGAATTAAAGTGATGGACACATTTCAGTGGTGGTTTGCTTTTTTGTTTTGAGAAATTAACTTTTTCATAAATGTTTATATAATTATATATAGAGATTATATTTACAACTTCTTTTCATTTATCTTACAATCAAATTTTAATCGTTGATTTCCGTCAATTTGATTATTATAATTTATTGAGAATTAATAATTAATTTATAAATGTGACCTAATAAATTATAACCGTTAGATTAACGAAAATCAACAATTAAAATTGATTGTAATAGATTATAAACGAAAATATGGTGTAAATATAACATTCCTCTTATATATAGACAAACTTAACTTAATTCTTTTAAATTCTTATTTTCAATTTAACTTTAATATAGCTTTTAAATATCAAATGATAGTAATTTAATTGACATATAAGAGCTGAATAAATAAGGGTGATAGCTATCTCTTCAAAACTATTTTTGGAAAGGATTTAAAGTTTTAATCTTGAAAGAAATCTAAATAAAATTGTCTTCCATGAAAATTTAGACGTAGTTTATCAAAAAACAAAAAAAAAGTAGCTTTTAAACTAAATAATTTATCGTGTACGAGTGTGGCATTTATCTTTCGCTACATATGTATAGGTGCCACCGCGCCACGCATCCATGAATATGACCCAATTTCCTCCATCAATGAGGCAACAAATTCCGGAGAAGTAACAAAACTTAGCTCATCCATCTCTGGTCCTGCGTTGGATTCCGGGGATAGCTTCCAAAAAAATTTCATTAGGCCTTTACTTGGTATGGTTGCGACTGTTGCGAGATAATTGCGATTGATACAGTCTACAATCAATCAAGGCCTGATATGATTACAACATTAATCACCACGAGTAAAAAAAATTCTCTACGGGTTATTTGTTACTCTGATTAATGTTTAAACTCCATGAATGGCCTTTACTCAAATGCTTTTTAGTTTTATATATATTGTCAAAGTGAAGTTATTTAAGAAAAAAGATTCCAAAGCTTGATGTACGAAGCAACCTCGATGTTT